CATTCATTAATTCATTCATTCATTCATTAATTCATTCATCCATTCATTCATTCATTTATTAATCCATTCATTCATCCATTCATTCATTAATTCATTCATCCATTCATTCATTCATTACTCCATTCATTAATCCATTCATTCATCCATTCATTCATTCATTCATTACTCCATTCATTCATCCATCCATTCATTCATTCATTCATTCATTACTCCATTCATTAATTCATTCATTCATTAATTCATTCATTCATTCATTAATCCATTCATTCATCCATTCATTCATCCATTCATTCATTCATTACTCCATTCATTCATTACTCCATTCATTAATCCATTCATTCATCCATTCATTCATTAATTCATTCATCCATTCATTCATTCATTACTCCATTCATTCATCCATTCATTCATTCATTCATGACTCCATTCATTAATCCATTCATTCATCAATTAATTCATTCATCCATCCATTCATTAATTCATTCATTCATTAATTCATTCATTCATCCATTCATTCATTCATTCATTACTCCATTCATTAATCCATTCATTCATTCATTCATTCATTCATTACTCCATTCATTCATCCATCCATTCATTCATTCATTACTCCATTCATTAATTCATTCATTCATCCATTCATTCATCCATTCATTCATTAATTCATTCATCTATTCATTCATTTATTCATTACTCCATTCATTAATCCATTCATTCATCCATTCATTCATTAATTCATTCATTCATCCATTCATTCATTCATTCATTACTCCATTCATTAATCCATTCATTCATCCATTAATTCATTCATTCATCCATCCATTCATTCACCCATTTATTCATTCATCCATTCATCCAGGAATCAGCTGTTGAGAAATTACCAGATCTTTGGAAAAGCCTATTAACAATAATAACATTAACAATAGTATTAATAAAAATAAAATTATTATTATTGTTATTGATTGGTTAATGAATAAAAATAATAATATTATTATTATTATAACAATAATAATATAAGCAACGATATGCAATCTTCTCTTAACAAGCATCTGATATATATATACATATAGAGATGGATGAACATATGAATATTTATATATTAATATATATATATATAAGGTATATGTGTGTGTGTTTTTGTTTGTTTGTGTTTGTGTGTGTGTGTGTATATGTGTGTGTGTGTGTTAAATACATTTACAAGCAAAAATTTATTTCACAACGACAACAACAGCTTTTACGTTACTACATCAATAACAACAATTTCGTTATTTATATAATTATAATTTAAATAATAATCATTAATGTTATTATTAGAACATTTATTATTATCATATAATATATATTCTCTCTATCTCTCTATCTATCTATCTATCTATCTATCTATCTATCTATCTATCTATCTATCTATCTATCTATCTATCTATCTATCTATCTATCTCTTTTTTTTCTCATTCTCTCTATCTCTTTCTATCTCTCTATCTCTTTCCCTTTCTGTGTCTGTATATACATACATTATACTTATTTAAACTTGTTCTTCGCGCTGTTATTAATTTTATTATTATTATTCTTTTTATTATTGTTGTTGTTGTTCCCGGCATTATTATTGTTATTATTATTATCTGCGTAATGGCCGTCTGAGTAGTAATTTTGTGTCATCTTGAAATCGAACGATGTTGTGGTTGTAGTAGTAGCCACAGCAGCTGCAGAAGCAGTCGTAGTAGTGGTAGTTGTGGTAATTGTAGTGGTAGTAGTGGCTGCAGTTGCGTTAGCAATTGAAATCGCGGTACGACCGTTATTTAAGAAATAATCGTCCGAGTCTAAGTCATCATTAGTGTTGTTGTTGATGTTGTTGTTGGTGTTTGTCTTTGTGATGTTGTTGTTGATGTTGTTGTTGTTGTTTGTCTTTGTGATGTTGTTGTTGTTGTTGTTGTTGTTTGTCTTTGCGATGTTGTTGTTGGTGTTTGTCTTTGTGATGTTGTTGTTGCAGCGTTTGATAGTCACGTGATGTTGATGTTGTTGTTGTTGCTGCTGTGTTAGTTCACTTTTAGAATTGATAA